TCTTAAAATGGTAAATTTTATATTATATATATTTTACCACAATTTAAAAAATATATTGATGTTTAAAAAGTCTGTTGAGTAGGCACCATTTTAGAAAAATGTGTTCAGGGGGAGCAACCAGTCACTTATTTTCTGCCACTGCAGTGCTGCTGCAAACTTGGAGGTTCTGGTGCCCTAGTATATCTCTTTCCAAGATGCTCTGCCCCATATCTTTTCTCCATCACCATGTCCCACTCTAGTTAGACTCTTACCCCCTGGAACCTGGGCCACTGTAATAACTGAATAGTTTCCTGTACTCACTCCAAATCTCACACAGCAGCCTAACATCTTTCCCTGGTTGCTCACTGCTTATAGTCTGTGAGCTGAAGTCCTTTTTGGGCAATATCTGGCCCTGCCTTCCTATCCACCCTCACCTAGAGCCAACTTCCCCCTTGCTTTCTATACCCCAACCACACTGCAACAGCCTTGCTGTTCTCAGACCCACTAAAATGCTTCCTGCCTCAGGGCCTTTGCATGATGCTTTCATTTGTTTAGAATGTTATGCCCCTTCTTCAACAGGCAGCTGTGTCCCTCCTTTATTTAGGTCTCAAAGAGGGCCCCTTGAGTCCTCAGACTAGGTTAGTTCTTCTGCATACTTCCATGGCATCTTCTCTTTTTTCATAGCACATTACCTAATATATACACATATATACCACAAATGATGTATTTTTAGCTAAAAATAATCCACGTGCCAAAGTAGCACATATTGGGGAGGCCTGTCCTAAGCCCCTTCAGTACATCAGTTAGGTTAAGATGTCCATCAGTATTTGGGGAAGCTGAATGAAAAGTATATGGGAACTCTCTTTACTACTTTTGCTTCTTTTTTTTTCCTGTAAGTCAAAGATTATTCTAAAATACAAAGTTAAAAATCAAATAAACATAGCAGCTTAATGTAATAGCTCTCTTATTATGTTTCAAGATTTTTGTGAGCCAGGAATTTGGGCAAGACTCAGCTGGATAATCCTTCTGCTCCACAAGGGGTCATGTGATGATAGTGTCTGGGCTGGTCTTGAGAATTCAAGATGGTTTTGCTCAGATGCTTGGCACTAGAGCACGTATTGCTGGAAGGTTGGCCTCAGCCATGATCCCCTCCTCTCTAGGTAGTCCCTGGGCATCTCCAGCAGGGTATCATTCTTCTTACATGGTGGCTCGGGGATCTAAGAGCTAGTATTCCAAGATACAAGAAATAGAAGCTGCCACTGTCTGTCTTATTCAGTTTGGGTGACTATAACAGAATACCATAGACTAGGGGTCTTAAACAACAAAAATTTATTTCTCAAAGTTCTGATGCCTGAAAGTCCAAGATCAAGGTGCCAGCATGGTCAGTTCCAGAAAGGGCTCTCTTCTATTGCAGACTGATGTCTTGATGTATCCTGACTGGTGGAGAGCAGAGAAAAAGCAAGCTCTCTCATGACTCTCATTAGGGCATTAATTGCATCTAATCCTAATCACCTCATCTAACCCTAATCACTTCCCAAGGCACCACCTCCTAATAACATCACATGGGGCGGGTTAGGGTTTTATCATATGAATTTTGGAGAGACAAATATTCAGTCCATAACAGTATGTTCAGGCCTGGAGCTAGGAACTGGCAGAGCACCACTTGTTACCATGTGCTGTTGGTCAAAGCAGTCACAGAGCATGTCCACAATCAAGGGGAGGGGACATAGACCTCACTTCTCAATAGTCAAAGATTTGTTTCCCACTGTAACCCACCTCATATGGGAAAGAGGTTCCCCAACCCCCTACTGCACAGGTTTGGATTAATCATAACCCTTGGTTCTTGACATGCTCTCGTCATTGGTCCAGGCATGGACTGCCTTTATATATTTATTGGTTTGTGGTTTTGCTTAGCTTTTTTCAAAAAGACAAAGTAAATCTTACGTTCTTTCTTTCGTGTCATGTATGATTTGTATACCTGGAGTAAGATGATACTCTTATTTCTAAAATATCATATTTCCTTTATTTGCATTACTTGGGAAAACAGCAGAACTAAATGAAATTGTACAGTCCAGGAAGTTTCTGGGGAGAGAAGCTCTGAAGGCTGTTCTAAAAAGTAAACATAGGCTGTGGTTTCTCAGCTAAATTTCCTGGAGGTGGGGTAGGAAAATAAGACCTTGAATTTGGAGATAGTGTCACAGTGACAAAAGACAAAACAAAACATGGACTTTACAGTTGAGCCAATTGGACTCTGGGTCCCTACTCCTCCACTTTTTAACTGTTTGAGAATCCACCTAACTCCCAGAGCCTCAATTTACTCATCTGTATGTTGGGAATAATAATGTCAACCTTGCAATATACTGTGAGGGTTACAAGACACAACAATGTAAGTAAAGCATCTATTATTCAAATTGGTATAGAGTAGTTCTCGATATCTGACTACCAGTATGATTATGCACATTAATGTTCAGTAGGTTACAAATTACTTTCATATGCACCTTCAAACTACTTTTTTTAAATCCTCACCCGAGGACATTTTTCTTTTTTTGCATTTATCTTCAGATAGAGTGGGAGGGAGAGAGGGAGGAAGAGAGAGAGAGAAACATTAATGTGAGAGAGACACATCGATTGGTTGACACCCACACAACCCCAACCAGGGCTGGGGACAACCTGCAACTGAGGTATGTGCCCTTAGCAGGAACCGAACCTGGGTCTCTCTGGTCTGCTGGCCACCGCTCTAACTGCTGAGCCAAACTGGCCAGGGCTCAAACTACTCTTAAGAGAAGGAAGATGGATAGATACTAAGACAGAAGATACTAAGACCAGCAACATAGTGATGAACACAGGCTGGTACAATGGAAGGAGGATAGAGGGTTGCTGACTATGGTCAGTACTCAGCAATGATAGAGCCCTGGTGAGGAGGATGGAACAAGATGAGCACCTCATAACCAGATGCTGACCTTAAACTTACCTGTGTCAGGACCATGTGCTGAGAACGAACTGAAACCACAGACCCTGCCCTGGGAGAGTTATTCTACTAGTTGAGTAAGTAATGACAGAATTTGGAGGTTTTCCCAAAATCATAATGGGAAAACACCAATAGACATTATAAAAAACAAGAACAGCCCAGCTGGTGTGGCTCAGTGGTTGAGTGTCGACTCATGCACTAAGAGGTCGCCCATTTGATTTCTGGTTAGGGCACATGCCCAGGTTGTGGGCTGATCCCCAGTGTGGGGTGTGCAGGAGGTAGCTAATCAGTGTTCTCTCTTATCGATGTTTCTATCTCTCTCTCCTTCTCCCTCCCTCTCTCTCTAAAATCAATAAAGAAAAATATTAAAAAACAAAACAGCCCGGCCAGTGTGGCTGAGGGGTTGAGCATCGATCCATGCACCAAAAGGTTGCAGGTTCGATTCCCAGTTAGGGGACATGCCCAGGTTGTGGGCCTGATCCCCAGTGGGGGACATGCAGGAGGCAGCCAATCGATGTTCTCTCTCATTGATGTTTCTATCTCTCTCTCCCTCTCCCTCTCCCTTCCTCTCTTTCTAAAATCAATAAAGAAAAAATATTTTTATAAAAAACAAAACAGAAGTGATACCATTTGTCTTTCTAGCTTAGTAGCAATTTTACTGTATGCAATAACATTTGAGAAATAAAGACAAAGGATGAAGCACTTTTAACTTGAAAAAGTAAATTATTTTTCTTAACTTATTTTTTATTTTTTTATCCTCACCTGAGGATATTTTTCCATTTTTTGTACAGATAGAGTGGGAGGGAGAGAGAGGAAGAGAGAGAGAGAGAAACATCGACGTGAAGGAACACATCGAGTGGCTGCCACCCGCACGACCAACCAGGGCCGGGGACAAACTGCAACCGAAGTACGTGCCCTTAGCGGGAACCGAACCCGGGTCTCTCTGGACCGCAGGCCGACGCTCTAACCGCTGAGCCAAACTGGCCAGGACTCTTAACTTATTTTGATAATGGCTAATGGAAGCGTTTCTACCATAGAGAACATTTTAATTAATTTCAGACAGTACAAGGCATAAAGAAGTAACTTGAAGATTATGCTATCAGACGTGACAATAATACTCAAGTGTGTAAGGTAGATAACTGGGCTTTCTGAGTTTTTTTTTGTTTCTTTTGTCAAAAGCATAAACATACAGTGAAACTACCCAAAAAAGCAAAGTGTAGAACATTATGCTATCATTTGTGCACAAAAATGGGATAAGTATAAATGCATAGACCTTCTCTGGCAGTTACCCAAGGAACTAGAACTATTGGTGGCCTTGTGTTTATGCTTTTGCAAACATGTGTATAGCATCCATAACTGATATGTCGTATTGTTTTGTGCAAACATTTGCTATTGAAATTTATATAAATGGTAACAAATCAGATGCATCACTCTGTATCTTATTTTTCCATTTAACATTCTTGATATTTATATACATGTATACATACATGTATACATGTATACATGTATATTATATTCAAATAAGGTATGCATCCACATGATTCAAAAATAAAAACAGCATATAAAGAGGGAGGCATGCCCTGGCCGGTTTGGCTCAGCGGTTAGAGCGTCGGCCTGCGGTCCAGAGAGACCCGGGTTCGGTTCCCACTAAGGGCACGTACCTCGGTTGCAGTTTGTCCCCGGCCCTGGTCGGTCGTGCGGGTGGCAGCCACTCGATGTGTTCCTTTCACGTCGATGTTTCTCTCTCTCTCTGTTCCTCTCTCTCCCTCCCACTCTACCTGAACAAAAAATGGAAAAATGTCCTTGGGTGAGGATAAAAAAATAAAAAAATTAAAAAAAAAATAAAGAGGGAGGCACATGCCTTTAAGCCACGTAAGCTTTCAGGTATTGGCCTGTGTGTGTTGCTTGCATCATTCTGCCTGCGGTTGGGACCAAGCTGAAGAGCTTATGTTTTAGTTCAGGTCAAGATAGTGGAGTAGGTGCACGCTGTGCTTGCCTCCTCCCATGACCACATCAAAATTACAACAAAATTACAGAACAATCAACCTGGAGAACCATCTGAAGACTAACTGAACAGAAGTGCTATATCTAAGGATATAGAGAAGAAGCCACGTTGAAACTGGTAGGAGGGATGGAAACGCGAGACGGGCTGGTCCCACACCTAAGTGAGGTGGTTGAGAATTGGGAGGGCTGTCTCAGCTGCAGAGATCCCCCCTGAGGAGAAAGGGGTCCCAGCCCCATACTGCACTCCCCAGCCTAGAGCAATGCCAGGAAAAGGAGCCCAAAAAACATCTGGCTGTGAAAATCAGCAGGGATTCCATTTTCTGGGGGAGACAGAAGGCTTCTGGAAACAGCTTTGTCCTCTTAAAGGGCCCACACACAGCCTCTCTGTTTCAGGTACTCACCGTGGGCTCTGGCAGAGGGACAGTAGCTCTGGGCGAGGGCGGCAGAGACACACAGGGAGAAACTGAGTTGTGTGATTCAGGGTGAGGGCTGAAGAGACAGCTGCCATTGTTCCTGTGTTGCGCCCTCCTCCCACATAGTCAAATCTGACTGCATTAGCCTGGTAAAGCCACTTGTTCCACCTTGAGGACTTCCTGAGACCCCCTCCCACCCAACTCCCACACCGCCCAAGGCACTTTCGGTGGCAAGCAGCCAGACTTGGCATGAGCTACAGTTTTATTTTTCAAATTATAAGAGAAAGTTTATTTAGAAAGTTACAGAGGTAGTTAAAAGTGAGCCAACTGGGCTGTGTAGGCTCAGGAAACAAGTTACAGAAGCAAAAGAAGGACCTTGGAGTTTAGGAGAAAGGCAAAGGTAACACGCCTGGGGGGAAGAAAAGGAGGAAAGGAAAGGCGAGGTGTGCTCCTGAGAGGGAGAGTGTTGAGTTACAGTTTTTCTTAAAAACCTCTTGAGGAGTTCTGGTCACATTCGGGGAGTACAAGTGACACAAAGGGAGACTCTGGATTGTACAGCTTTAGGGTAAGGACTGGAAGGATGGTTGCCATTGTCCCTGTGTTGAGCCTTCCTTCAACGTGGCTAAATCTGAATATGAATATGAATCTGCATTAGCCTGGTGAACTCTGCTCATTCCACCATGACAACTCCCTAAGACTCTGCCCCACCCAACTTCCTCACTGCCTGAGACTATTTTGGCAGCATGCAGCCAGCCTAAGCCTGTTCAGCAGTCTTTCTTAAAACACTCTCAAGAAGTTCTGGTCGCCCTGGCCGGTTTGGCTCAGCGGTTAGAGCGTCGGCCTGCGGTCCTGAGAGACCCGGGTTCGGTTCCTGCTAAGGGCGCGTACCTCGGTTGCAGTTTGTCCCCGGCCCTGGTCGGTCATGTGGGTGGCAGCCACTCGATGTGTTCCTTTCACATCGATGTTTCTCTCTCTCTCTGTTCCTCTCTCTCCCTCCCACTGTATCTGAACAAAAAATGGAAAAATATCCTCGGGTGAGGATTTAAAAAAAAAAAAAGAAGTTCTGGTCAAGCTCAGGGTATGCGAGAGACATACAGGGAGAAACTGAGTGTGTGGCTTCAGGATGAGAGCTGGAGGGATGGCCACCATTGTCCCCTTGTTGAGATCTCCTCCCACAAGGCCAGTGGGTTGGCACCATATTTCCTTTGTGGAGCCATCCCCTCATATGGCCAAATCTGAATTTGCATTAGCCTGGAAACTCCACTTGTTCAATCCTGATGACTCCTTGAGTCCTGGCCCTAACTGCAAAGGTCTCTAGGCCCCAAGCAGGTGGCATTTGGCTTGGGTGTATACTGTGATTTTTGCTGTGTGGCCTCAGGCTCAGCACTGGTGCCAAATCTGAATCTGTAGTAACCTGGTGAATACCATTTGCCCCACCCTGGAGACTCCCTGAGACCCTGCCTCATACAACTTGCATAGCACCTGAGGCTCTTTCAGTGGCTGAGCCTTATGGGCAACTGGCAGGTAGCAGCAGGTCTTGAACTGCCTTGTGCCTTTTGCTGACCTGCTCCAGACCCAGTACTGGTGGCACCAGTATCAGTTCACAGCTTAGTCTCTTTCATGGGCATCCAGGTCCAGTACAGGCAGCTAGCAACTGCAGATCTCTTTGTAGCTCCTAACAGGTAGGCCTGGGCCAGTCACAGGCAGCATCTGACATTGATCTGAACCAGAGCCCCTCCCAAGAGACCCCAGAACCAACACACCTGGTGGCTATCTTAAGACCACAGCAGAACACTACCAGATTAGATGCATAAGTAGGGTGGTGAGGAAAGGCACCAGACCCCACTGGGATGATCCTGCTTCATGGGGTCAGCCCCCACATAGCAGCTCATATACTGTGGTCACAGCCAGTCTTCACAGCCAGTCATCCTGAGGGTCAATTCCACCCACTGATATGCCAACAGCAATCAGGCTCAACTACAACAGGAAGGCACACACAACCACAGAAGGAACACAACTGGAAGACCTGGCTCAGGTGATCAGAGAGACTGCACCTCTGGGCCACACAGAATACTTCTTACATAAAACTACCCTGACAAGACTGCAAGACATAGCAGATCTACCTAATACATGGAAACAAACACAGAGACAGCCAAAATGAGGAGACAAAAAAAAAAAAAAAAAAAAAAAAAAGAAAAAACAGGAGAAATCTTCAGAAAAATAAAAAATAACTAAATAAAATGGAGGCAAACTATCTACCGGATACAAAGTTCAAAACACTGGTTATAAGGATGCTTGTGGAAATTAGTGAAAAGTTCAACAAAGAGACAGTAAGCATAAAAAAAAAATGACATAGAAACCATAAAAAAGAACCAGTCATAAATGAATAATACAATAACTGAAATGAAGAATACATGAGAAGAATCAATAGCAGATGAGATAAAGCACAAGATTGAATCAGTGATTTGGAGGACAGGGTAGCAGAAATTAGCCAATTGAAACAGCAAAAAGAAAAAAGAATTATAAATGAGAATGGAGAGTGGGTGGGAAGGAATTAACCAAAGAACTTATATGCATATATGCATAACCCATGGACACAGACAGTAGTGCAATGAAGGCCAGGTTTGTGGGGTGGTGGGAGCAGGGTGGGAGGGCCAATGGGGGAAACAAAGGGGTACATTCATAACACTTTCAACAATAAAGATAAATGAAACAAATAAAATGAGAATAGTTTAAGGGGCCACTGGTACAACATGAACATAACAACATCCGCATCATAGGGACACCAGAAGAAGAGGGCGAGCAAGGAACTGAGAAACTTTTTGAAAAAATATTAACTGGCCTTGTGAAGGAAATAGACATACAAGTCCAGGAAACACAGAAAGTTCCAACCAAGATGAACTCAAAGAGGCCCACATCAAGACACATCATAGCCCTGGCCAGTTTGGCTCAGCGGTTAGAGCATCGGCCTGAGGTCCAGAGAGACCCGGGTTTGGTTCCCACTAAGGGCGTGTACCTCGGTTGCAGTTTGTCCCTGGCCCTGGTTGGTCGTGTGGGTGGCAGCCACTCGATGTGTCCCTTTCACATTGATGTTTCTCTCTCTCTCTTTCTTCCTCTCTCTCCCTCCCACTCTATCTGAACAAAAAATGGGAAAATGTCCTTGGGTGAGGATTAAAAAAAAAGACACATTATAATTAAAATAGCAAAGGTTAAAGACAGCGGATCTTAAAAGCAGCAATAGAAAAACAATTAGTTACCTATGAGGGAACTCTCATAAGACTGTCAGCTGATTTCTCAACAGAAACATTTTAGGCTAGAAATGATTGGAATAAAATATTCAAAGTGATGAAAAGCAAGGACCTATAACCAAGACTACTCTATCCAGCAAGGCTATCATTCAACATTGAAGAAGAGATAAAGAACTTTGAGACGAGAAAAAGCTGAAGGAGTTTATCATCAACAAACCAATGCTACAAGAAATGTTAAAGGGATTTCTTTTAGAAGAAGAAAGAAAAATATATATATACATGAATAATAAAATGGCAATAACTACTTACCTATCAATAATCACTTGTATGTATGTATGTATGTATGTATTTAAATCCTCACCCAAGGACATTTTCCCATTTATTTTTTAGATAGATTAGGAGGGAAGAAGAGAAGGAGAGCCCTGGCCACTTTTGCTCAGTGGTTAGAGCATCGGCCTGCGGTCCAGAGAGACCCGGGTTTGGTTTCCGCTAAGGGCATGTACCTCGGTTGCAGTTTGTCCCAAGCCCTGGCTGGGTTGTGTGGGTGGCAATCACCTAATGTGTCCCTTTTGAGTCGATATTTCTCTCTCTCTCTCTCTCTCTTTTCTCTCTCCCTCCTACTCTATCTGAACAAAAAATGGAAAAATATCCTCGGGTGAGGATAAAAAAAAGAGTTGCCCTGGCTGGTTTGGCTCAGTGATTAGAGAGTCGGCCCACAGACCGGAGAGTCCCTGGTTCGGTTCCAGCTAAGGGCATGTACCTCAGTTGCAGTTTGTCCCTGGCCCCAGTTAGGGTTGTGTGGGTGGCAACTAGTTAATGTGTCTCTCACATCGATGTTTTTCTCTCTATCTCTCTTCCCCCCTCTCTCCCTCCTGCTCTATCTGAAGGTAAATGCAAAAATGTCTTTGGGTGAGGATAAAAAAAAAAAGAGTTCACAGGAGAGAGGGAGAGAGAGAGAGAGAAACATCAAAGTGAGAGAGACACATCGATTGGTTGCTTTCCATGTGACCCCAACCAAGGCCAGGGACTAACCGCAACCGAGGTACATGCCCTTGGCGGAAATCAAACCCAGGTCTCGCTGGTCTGATGCTCTAACCGCTGAGCCAAACTGACCAGGGCTCAATAATCACTTTAAATGTAAATGGCTTAAATGCCCCAGTCAAAAGACATGTAGTAGCTGAATGGATCAGAAAACAAGACCAATATATATGCTGTTTACAAGAGATCCTCTTTATTTTTATTTTTATTTTTTTATTTTTGTTAATCCTCACCTGCGGGTATTTTTCCATTGATTTTTAGAGAGAGTGGAAGGGAGGAAGGGAGAGAGAGAGAGAGAGAAAGAATGAGAGAGAGAGAGAGAGACATCAATGTGAGACACATCAATTGGTTGCCTCCCACAAAGCCCCAACTGGGGCTGGGGATTGAACCTGCATACCCAGGTACATGCCCTTGACCAGGCATCCAACCTGCAACCCTTTGGTGTGTGGGTTGATGATTTAACCGCTGAGCCAAACCAGTTAGGGCCAAGAGACCCTTTTTATTTTATTTGTATCCTCATCCGAGGACATTTTTGCATTTTTATTTTTAGATAGAGCTGGAAGGAGAGAAGGAGGAAGAGAGAGAGAGAGAAACATTGATGTGAGAGAGACACATCTACTGGTTACCACCTGCACAACCCCAACCAGGGCCAGGGTCAAACCGCAACTGAGGTACATGCCCTTAATGGGAACCGAATCCGGTACCCGCTGGTCCACGGGCCAATGCTTTAACTGCTGAGCCAAACTGGCCAGGGCAAGAGACCCTCTTTAGATCAAAAGACACATTCAGACTGAAATTGAAGGAATAAAGAAAGTGCTACTTCATGCAAATGAAAGAAACAAAGAAAAAAGCCGGAGTAGCAATACTTATATCAGACAAAATAGACTTTAAAACAAAGGCTAGAATGAGAGACAAAGAAGGGCATTTTATGATAAAGGAACCAATCCAACAAGAGGATGTAATTCTTGTAAAGATTTATGCACCCAACATCAGAGCACCTAAATATGTAAAGCAAATCTCGATAAAGGGAGAGATTGACAGTAATATAGTAATCGTAGGGGACTTTAACACTCTATTGACACCAATGGATAGTTCTCCCAGATAGAAAATCAACAAGGTGATGTAAGTGACACATAAGACCAGATGGATTTAATTGGTATTTTCAGAGCATTTCACCCAAAAGCAGCAGAATATACATTTGTTTTCCACGTGAACATGGAAAATCTGAACAGACAGATTACTACCACCATTTTCCAGGAGAGATTACATGTTGGGACATAAAAGAAGTCTCAGTAAATTTAAGAAGATTAAAATCACATTAAGCATCTCCTCCAACCACAATGGTATGAAATTGCAACTCAATTACAAGAAAGAAACTGAAAAACATACAAACACATGAAGACTAAATAACACATATCTAAATAATGAATGAGTTAATAGTGAAATTGATCTCACTTATTTGTGGAATATAATGAACATAACAGTCTGAGGAATGGGGTAGTACCAGAGATGTGGAAGTGGGGTACAGACTGACAATCCCCAGAAGAGGGCATGGTGGGGGAGAGATAAACCACAGAACTCATATGCATGTATGCATGAACTATGGACATAGACAACAAAGCTGGGGACAGGGCAGGGAGGGAGGGGGAGGGGGGAATCAGTGGGGGAAAAAGGAGAAACATCTGTAACAAAAATAAATTAATTAATTAATAAAAAAAAAGAAGAAGAAATGAAAAGATACCTTGAAACAAATGAAAATGAAAACAAAATGACCAAAGATCTAAGGACACAGCAAAATAAGTCTTGAGAAGGAAAATCAGCAATATAGCCCTATCTCAAGAAACAAGAAAAAAATCACAAGTAAAGAATCTAACTTTACACCTAAAAAAAAAAAAAAAAAAGAACAACAAACAAAGCCAAGTGTGTGTAGAAGGAAGGAAATAATGACCAGAGCAAAAATAAATTAAATAGAGTCTAAAACACAATACAAAAGATCAATGAAACAAGGAGCTGATTCTTTGAAAAGATAAACAAAGCTGCTGGGCTGGTGTGGGTCAGTGGTTGAGCATTGACCCATGCACCAAGAGGTCGCCAGTTTGATTCTTGGACAGGACATATGCCCAGGTTGTGGGCGAAATCACTAGTGGGGGGCATGTAGGAGGCGGCCAATCGATATTCTCTCTCATCGATGTTTCTTTCTTTCTCTCCCTCTTCCTTCCTCTCTCTAATATCAATAAAGAAAAAAAATATTTTTTTTAGCCCTGGCCGGTTTGGTTCAGCGGTTAGAGCGTCGGCCTGCGGTCCTGAGAGACCCGGGTTCGGTTCCCGCTAAGGGCGCAGTTGCAGTTTGTCCCCAGCCCCGGTTGGTTGTGCGGGTGGCAGCCACTCGATGTGTTCCTTTCACATCGATGTTTCTCTCTCTCTCTCTGTTCCTCTCTCTCCCTCCCACTCTACCTGAACAAAAATGGAAAACTGTCCTCGGGTGAGGATTAAAAAAAAAAAAAAAAAAAATTTTTTTTTAAAGAAAAGAAAAGATAAACAAAGCTGATAAACTTTTAACTAGACTCATCAAAAAAAGAAAATTACAGATTAGAACCCCTAATGATCATAGATGCTAAAAACCTCAACAAAATCCCCTGGCCAGTTTGGTCAGCAGTCAGATCAATGGCCTGCAGACCAGTGAGTCCCGGGTTCAATTCAAGCCAAGGGCACATACCTTGGTTGTGGTTAATTCCCTGGCCATGGTAGGGTCATGTGGGAGGCAACTAGTCAATGTGTCCCTCTCACGTTAATGTTTCTTTCTCTTTCCATATCTCTCTCTTTCAACCTGAAGATAAAAAATAAAAATAAAATTAAAAATAAAATCCTCAACAAAATATTATCAAATCAAGTACAGCACTACATTAAACAGATCGTACACTATGATCAAATGAGATTTATTTCTGGGATGCAAGGTTGGTTCAATATCTGCAAATCAATTAATGTGATAAATCAGGCTGGCCATTATGGCTCAGTGGGTTGAACATTATCCCATGGACTGAGAGGTCCTAGTTTGATTCCCAGTCAGGGTACTTGCCCAGGTTACAGGCTCAGTCCCCAGTAGTGGGTGTGCAGGAGGTAGCCTATCAATGTTTCTATCTCTCTCTTCCTCTAAAAAATCATTAAAAACATATTTTTAAAAATGTGAACCACAAAAAGAACATGGAGGTTAAAAATGATATGATTGCCCTGGCCAGTTTGGCTCGGTGTTTAGAGCATCAGTCCTCAGACCAAAGGGTCACAGGTTTGATTCAAGGGCATGTACCTGGGTTGCAGGTTTGATGCCCAGCCCTGGTCAAGGTCCTGTGGGAGGCAACCAATCAATGTCTCTCTCTTTTTCTCTCTCTCTCTCTCTCTCTCTCTCTCTCACTCTCTCTCTCTCTCCCCCCTTCCCTTCTTCCCTTACACTCTATCTAAAAAATCAATGGAAAAATATCCTTGGGTGAGGATTCACATACACACAACAAAAAATGATATGATCATATGCCCAGCTGGAGTGGCTCTGTTGGTTGAGCATCATCCTGTGCACCAAAAGGTTGCCAGTTTGATTCTCTGTCAGGACACATACCTGGGTTGGGGGTTTGATCCCTGGTCAGGGTACATATGAAAGGCAACCAACTGATGTTTCTCTCCTCTCACATTGATTCTTCTCTCTTTCTCTCTCCCTCCTCCCCTTCCTTTCTCTAAGCATGTCCTTGGGTGAGGATTTTTTTAAAAATCATATGATCATATCAATAGATGCAGTAAGAACATCTGACAAAATTCACCATCCATTTATGATAATAAATGTGGGAATAGAGGGAACATACCTCAACATAATAAAAGCCACACATGAGAAATCCACAGCTAACATCATACTCAATGGGAAAAGCCAAAGGCATTTTCCTTAAGATTAGGAACAAGACAAGGTTGTCCACTTTCACCACATTTTTTTTATTTTTATCCTCACCCGAGGATATTTTTCAATTTTTTGTACAGATAGAGTGGGAGGGAGAGATAGGAAGGGAGAGAGAGAGAAACATCGATGTGAAGGGACACATCGAGTGGCTGCCACCCGCACGACCAACCAGGGCCGGGGACAAACTGCAACCGAAGTACATGCCCTTAGCGGGAACCGAACCCGGGTCCCTCCGGACCGCAGGCCGACGCTCTAACCGCTGAGCCAAACCGGCCAGGGCGACTTTCACCACTTTTATTTAACATAGAATTTAAGTCCTAGCCACAGCAATCAGACAAGAAAAAAAAAAAAAGATATCTGAATTGGAAAGGAAGAAGTAAAACTGTCACCTTGGGTGGATGTACCATAATTTATTAAACGGCCCCTCCCTTAGTGAAAGACAGTTGAGCTATTTCCTAGACAAAGCCTGCCTGCCTTCGTTAACTTAGAGGCTGATCAAGCAGTCAGAATGGGCTTATAAAAAGGGATGGGGAGGTAAAGAGCCACTCTGCCTTCCCAGATGGGCTGAGGACAGAGGTAAGAGTAAGTGATAGAGGAAAAGTGGGAATAGGAGGTAGGAGGCAAGGTTGGGTCTCTCACAGGTATTTTTGGAAGCTGGTTTCTCTGCTGACTTTCCTCTGGTGTCCCCATTGTCCACTGCTCTGGCTCAGCGGCCTCCTCCACACGCTTATTATCTGTTGGCCTTCTTCTAGCTCTAGGCCTGACTCTGCCCCTGGGAGTTCCCAAGACCCCTCTGTGTGGAAGGAGGGGTTGCTGATGTGTGAGGAACTGGGGTTTGGCTGTGTGGGCCTGCACTCTCATTGGCTCTCCACATTGGTCCAGGACCATGAGCCATAACTGAACAACTTGGTGGCCTTCACCTGGCCCCAGGACAATTTCCCTGTCGGCTCCACTGGCAGTCTCTGGGTGCCTAAAAGCCTCTAGGCTACCAAGGCTGGCTGGTACCCCTTCCTTTCACTCCCCACCCCCGTTGGCAGGCCATGCCCTGTGGTTTCTCTTAAGCAGATTTGAGAGGACTTGCCAAGCTGGCAGAGATTTCCCACTGACTGGTGAAATCCAGAAGAGGGGTCACAGAGCAAGCTTGTGTTAAAGTGCCCTCAGGTCAGGGTTTGGGTGGGGAGAGACATTCCTGCCTTCTGGCCCAGAGTTTTACAAAGTTCTCATTGCTTGGTTAAGCTGCCTTGCGGGGTAAACTGAGTGGGGAGGGCAGAAGATCTGGGCTTAGGAGGGAGACAAGAAATTTGACCAAGAGTCTTATGGTTGCTGCCTCTCAGGCCTTATGTATCTCTGAATGTGGCTTTCTGGCAGGAACAGATGAACATGGCCTGGCAGATCACACAATTGCTGCTTCTTGCTTTGATGACTGTTGTGTGGGGTGCTCAGCCCAGGACTCCACAGGACAAGAGGAATCTGCTCAACATCTGCATGAACGCCAAGCACCACAAGACAAAGCCAAGCCCCGAGGACAAGCTTTATGGCCAGGTGAGGATGGAGTGGGGTCTGGGATGGAGAAAGGACTGATCCTAAAAAGAGAAGTAGGGTGATAGGAGGATCAAATTTTTGAGGGGCGTGATGGAGGCAGGAGTGTGGCTAAGGTGATCCTGATGGCCTCCCCCAGGGGGGCCACCAAATCTACAATGGGAGGACCCACTATGGGCCAAGTACCTTCATCACATCTTATCAATGAATATTCCCTAAGGGCCTACTTGGTAAGTGGGTAGTAGTTTTTACTTATACATATGAGGAAATAGGCCCAGAAAGGGCACAGATATATGTGGAAATTGAGAGGCTGATTATTAGCAGGGGCTAGGAGAGAGACAGACAGTAACTTTCTCAGCCTTAATTATGTACCAGCCCACAGAGCTCAGAGAGAAGGCAGAAGGGGAGACCAGTCTCTCACAGGGTCCCCCACCCCTACTAGGTTCTAAAGAGACAGTGACAAATCAGATATGCTTGGCCTTGGAGGATGAGTAAGAGTTTTCCAGGAAGACAAAGCAGGAAGGGGCTGCCTAGAAGAGGACAGCATGTACATAGGTGGAAGGGTGACAAATAAACAGTGACAAGCCTCATGGGGCCAGAGCCCATAGAAAAGGGGAGGTGAGGCTAGGGTCCCCATTTCAATAGGAAGCAGTTCTGGAAATCTGAGCTGGAAGTTGAACTCCGGGCTCATGAGAGACGCCAGTATTGCATTCCTTCTGGTCTCCTCTGCTCCCCACAAAGTTTTGTGTGGCTAGATGGCTGGGGATGTTCTCAGGGAAAGACTGTGGCATGGACTCACTCCAGGGCCTTGAAGTGAAAACAACGAATTGCAGCAGCCCCATGACTCCTGAGTCATTTCCAACATTTCACTGCTTTGTGTGTGTGCCTGGTAAAATATACATAACATAAAATTTGCCATTTTAAGCATTTCTGAGTGTACAGTTCACAATGTTGTGCCACCATCACCACCATCCATCTCCAGAACTACTTTGTCTTCCTCAACTGAAAGTCTATACCCACCACGTCATTTTTTTTTTTTTTCCTCACCTGAGGATATTTTTCCATTTTTTGTACAGATAGAGTGGGAGGGAGAGAGAGGAAGGGAGAGAGAGAGAGAAACATCGATGTGAAGGGACACATCGAGTGGCTGCCACCCACACGACCAACCAGGGCCGGGGACAAACTGCAACCGAAGTACGTGCCCTTAGCGGGAACAGAACCCGGGTCTCTCCGGACCGCAGGCCGACGCTCTAACCGCTGAGCCAAACTGGCCAGGGCACCACCACGTCATTTTTTAAACCTTTTAAGTTTTTAAACCTTTTAAGGGTATGTTTAAGAACCCTCTGGAGTACCTGTTTTTTTCCTAGAAATGGTGCAGACACAGACCTTTGAGGGAGACAGAGGATTGTAATTCTGAGGGGCTATATGGAAATGGCTATTTTTGTTGAACTCTTCATTGGGCTAGGGAATGCTTTTCATCATATTAATTAACTCTTTTGGAGGCAGAAACCACTGACCTTGGCTGATAGGTCAAGGATGAGGTGCATGGGGTTTTGCAGGGTGACCAAGAGTTGGCACCTCTGAGGAACAGCATCTGTGAAGTAGGGGAGGCCTGGAAGTCTGTGTCCGCAGCACCGGGTGTGGGCTAGGTTGTTGGGATGCTGTAGGCTTGGCCCCACCCTCATGGATTTTCCTTAGTTCCTCCTGAGTGTCCAGGCCAATGACATCTTCCCTCTTGCGTGACTTTGAGTACCAGAGTTCATCTCAGAAAATTGAAGCAACTGGTCCATGTTCACTCAGCTCTTGAGTCCCAGCCTAGAGTGATTTCTAAAGAGAAAGCTCCACCACTTCCACCACCTTACCTGCCTTGCATTTACCTCTCTAGGAGAGCCTCCCACATTGAGTCAGGCCCATGTTCAGGCCCATGTACTGACCATTGCCCCTCTGTTCTGCCTGCTTTCAGAACCTATCTGGAGGCCCCTAACCTAGGGTTCCAGACCCTAGGACAGCCAGACCAGCCCCCTTCACCTCCACTAACCACCTACCCGACAACCTGGGACCAGGCTCCTTTCCACCCTGTCCTGAATCTTAACCCCACCATTTACCAGGGGTGCAGCTTACCTACACTCTGTAAAAACTGAAGTAATTATGTTTTTACTGGATTGTTGAGAGGATAAAGCACAAAAGCCTCAGGGACTTTGCATCGGCTGTTTTCTAGACCTACAATGTTCTTTCTCTTCCCTCAACTCTGAAGGAAAACTATAAACAAGATGAGAGAAGACGTTTGATCTGTATTATATATTAGGCACAGTGCCAGCCCAGTGCCTGACATATGAGAAGCACTCAGTTAATATTGGCTGGATGTAAAATTAGTAATATAAATGATTTGAATAATGTGAAAAAAGTTTGTAAACTGTTCAGAGCTGTACAAATAATTGCTCTCCCAGACAGTGGTTCCCCAGGTTGCCAAATCCCCTGTGTTACTCCATGTTAAAATCCAATGTTATAATTGCCTTTTCCCAAAATGGGGGCTCCTCAGGGCCAGAAATAGAGGCACTCTCTCCATTGAGTGTTCCTCTGGATGATGGAGGAGATGGCTGTGCTGGGGGAAGAGCTTAGTCCTGTGTCCTCCCACCCAGTGCAGTCCCTGGAAGAAGAACGCCTGCTGCTCTGTCAACACCAGCCAGGAAGCCCATAAGGATGTTTCCTACCTGTACAGATTCAACTGGGACCACTGCGGCCTGATGAAACCCGCCTGCAAGCGCCACTTCATCCAGGACACCTGCCTGTATGAGTGCTCCCCCAACCTGGGGCCCTGGATCCAGGAGGTGCGAGTTCCTCCCCATGTCTGCTCCCAGACTTCTCCTCACACTGCCTCTGCAGCCCTGGGGCTCTCCAGGGCTGGGCTGCTGAGAATGCTGAGCCTGAGTCCCTTTCCCCTACTGCCACGTCCCAGGTGAACCAGAGCTGGCGCAAAGAGCGGATCCTGAACGTGCCCCTGTGCAAAGAGGACTGTCAGAGCTGGTGGGAAGACTGCCGCACCTCCTACACCTGCAAGAGCAACTGGCACAAGGGCTGGAACTGGACCTCAGGTGAGAGCCTGGCGGGTGGGGAAGGAGGGGTCGGGAGGGGAAGGTGGGGTGTGAGACAGGTATACGAAGGGATAGAGTTGTGAGGCTGGCAGAACCAGAGAGACTTCAGGGCCCAGTGGCTAAAGGCCTTCCATCATCCTACAGGGTCTAACCAGTGCCCAGTGAATGCTGCCTGCCACCCCTTTCATTTCTACTTCCCCACGCCTGCTGCTCTGTGCAATGAGATCTGGAGTCACTCCTACAAAGTCAGCAACTACAGCCGAGGAAGTGGCCGCTGTATCCAGATGTGGTTTGACCCGACCCACGGCAACCCCAATGAGGAAGTGGTGAGGTTCTATGCTGAGGCCACGAATAGGGCTGGGCTCCCTGGGGCCTAACCTGTCTTGTTTGGCCTGGCACTAATGCTGCCCCTGCAGCTCAGCTGAGCCCTTTTTACCTTCTGATACCTGACATCCCCACCCGATTCGCCCACTGCTTGGCTCCCATGGTGGGACTCTGTCTAACAGTTTGAATAAATCAGGTACCCCGCATGTGTCTTGTGAATTATTTGGGTGTGAATGGAATGTGACCTGCTTCCCAGTTTTCCTTGATTGAAGCCAGTGAGACTTGGTGAGTTCCCAGCTCTGATACTGGCTCTGAAGTTGCCAGATACTTAACTATTCTAACCGAGGACATATTCATAGCTTTCCATTTCATTTTTCACTGCAGCTCTAGTCTAGAGTCCAGGCCCAGGATTTTGTTATTTGAACTGGACCCAAGCCTCCCAGGGTCGACTATTCTGCCCTGTGCTCAGCTCTCCCGGAGAAGAGAAGAGAAGAGAAGAGAAGAGAAGAGAAGAGAAGAGAAGAGAAGAGAAGAGAAGAGAAGAGAAGAGAAGAGAAGGGAAGGGAATGGGAGTGCCCAGCATGCTCCGGAGGGCTGGCTGGGAGGAGGTGAAGGGGGCCAGCAAGAGCCATACCCCTCAACAGCTAATACCCTCAAAGCACTACCTGCTGGGCATTGTTCTAAATGCTTTATATTTATTCCCAAAGGGTATAGATATTATTGTCTGCATTTTACGTATGTGAAAAAGGGCCCATAGATTAAGGAACATGCCAAAGCCATCCTCTGCATAAGAGCTGGGATTTCACTCCAGTCAATCTGGCTGTTGAGAACAAGCTCTTTCCCTTGTCGAGTGGGTCAGTATGTGCATCTTGAAGGGATACTGGACCCACACTGACCGGAGGAGCTGGGCCTGGGCCAGTGTGGCGGAGCAAGGCCTGGATCCCAAACCTAGATTCCAGAGCGGGTTCCAAACCAGTGATTTGACAGATTTTTAGGCAGTGATCTCACATTAGTTTGTTTGTAGCCATTGTAATAAGCTCAGTTATGTTACAGTACCATCCCTAATATCTCAGGGGCTTACCAAGCTAACATTTATTTCTTGCTCAAGCTACAGTGATTCATGTTGGTTGACAGGGGGATTCTGCTTGGCAGTCAGTGAGCCAGGTTGATGGAGGCTCCCTCTCGCCACACACTGTTCTGAGACAGGAATAGAGAACTTGGTGAATTCCATACAGGCTCTTAAAACTTCCACCCATCACTTACTTTGTTGGCCAGTTCTAGTTATGACCATGACTAACTTCAAGGAAGCCAGGGAAATACAATTCTCCTACATGTGCCTGGAAGGAGAAGGGAATCAGAATGTTTGTTAACAGACCTAATGTCTACTACAAAGATTGTTATGATGTGGTCAGTATATTTCTGGCATGGTCATGGTAACAAATTTATTTTTTTGGTTTGGTCCTGGTAAGAAGGAAGAAGATCAACTCTTTGATCCTATGAAAAGAACTATATCAACATTAAAAGTGAATCAATCCACTGGCTAACACTCTAAATAGTCTTTTGAACAAGGCCAATCAATGTATCATTTTCTATAGAGACCTTGTGCCACTATTAACAAATATAACTTGTTTAACAATATATTATAATTAGTGAAATTTAAGATTAGAGTCACTTTCATCCAACAAGCCCTATCAAATTCCTATTGTGCTATTCGTGAATCATTTATAAAATACTTGTCCTAACCTCACTTTCTGTCATCCTCAAGTCTTAAGAGTCACTAGTTTACAGAAAGTATTAATAATTTTTCATATAGATATCTAGAGCAGTCATCCTAGCATAAGGATAGATACATAGATAAATGGAATAGAATCAGAGCCATAAAGAAATCCTTATATTTATAGTTAATTGGTTTTTGACAGTTGTTAAGGCAATTCATTGGTGGAAAGAATTGTCTGTCCAACAATATGTTGGGACAATAGATTACCCACATGTGAAAAGATGAACTTAGACCTTCAACTCATGCCATACACAAAATCGACTCTAAATGGATCACAGACTCAAATGTAACAGCTAAAACAATAAAAATTTTGGAAGAAAACAAAAGAACATTTTCCAGACCCTGTGTTAGGCAAAGCTTTCTTAGACTGAAGCTTCTACCCATCTTTCATTTCTTTTTTAGACCAAAAGTAGAAACCATTTCTTATTTCATCAGAAAAAAATAGATAAATTGGACATCATCAAAATAAAAACTTCTGCCATTCAAAAGATATCATTAAGAAAATATTAAGTCAAGTAACAGACTGGAGGACATATTTGTCAAACATGGATCTGATAAAAGATTTGTATCCATACTATGCAAAGAATGCTTACAACTCAATGATAAGAAAACAAAAAACCCAGTCAAATAATGGGCAAAAGAAATGAATGGTATTTCATCAAAGAAAGTTTATGAGTGGCTAATAAGCACAGGGAACGATTTTCAACATCATTAATTATTCAGGAAATGCAAATAAAACCACAATAATATACCATTTCATACCCACTAGAATGACTATGATAAATAAGACTGCCAATAACAAATGTTGGCAAGGATGTGAAGAAATTGGAACTTTCATACATTGCTGATAGGAATGTAAATGGTACTGCCCTTTGGAAAACAGTCAGTTTCTCAAAGGTAAATGTATAAGTTTTATAATCCAGGAATTTAAGAGAAATGAGAATATATATCACGCCAAGACTTGCATGTGAATGTTCATAGCAGCATATTTATAATAGCCCCAAACTGGAAATAACCTAAATGTCCATCAACTGGTGAATGGACAGACAAAATGTGCTGTATTTATACAATGGAATACTATTCAGCAATAAAAATGAATGAACCACTGACACATGCTATGTCACAGATGAACTTTAAACACTATGCTAAGTGAAGGACAATCTGTATGAAAAGTCCAAAAAAGGCAAATTTATAAAGCCAGAAAGTAGATAAGTGGTTACCTGTGGCTGGATTTAGGAACACAGATTAACCATAAATGCGTTAATGTTCTAAAACTCATTTACAATGAAGTTGCACCATTTGGTAAAATCAGTGTAAACTTTATATGAGTAAATTTTATGATGTGTAAAATAAATGAATGAATGATTGCCTATAGGATATACTTCCTTGTAATGGTAGCACGTAGGGAATCTTATATGATTCTGAATTTCTATGGCATGGACCCATGAGATGTAGTCTAAGGAATTTAGCATCTGGCTCCATAAAAATCTATAATCTGAGACAATTTCTATTTCATCATGAACTTTGAGACATTGGTGGGAACAACACGAAAATCAAGGAGGGCCTCTGTTCTTGGTGTAGATGGAGACAACACTAGTACAGACACTTAGGAGAGTGGCCCATTGACCAAGGATTTTTTTTTAGAGAGAGTGTTTATTCTAGAAGGCACAAGTGTGGTCAGCTAAATTGAGGGTTTCAGACCAGAGCCAGGGGAAAGAAAATGATTGCATCATATGACTAATTTAAAAAAGAACATGAAGCACATTACCAAAAATACCAACACAATAAGTACAATCATATCCTTCGTCAACTTCACTACTTCTTTTTTTTTTTATCCTCACCCAAGGACATTCTTCCATTTTTTGTTCAGAGTAGGAGGGAGAGCGCGAGAGAGAAATATCAATGTGAAAGGGACACATCGAGTGGCTGCCACCTGCATGACCCAACCAGGGCTGGGGACAAACTGCAACTGAGGTACATGCCCTTAGCGGGAACCAAACCCGGGTTTCTCTAGACCGCAGGCCGACGCTCTAACCGCTGAGCCAAACCAGCCAGGGCAACTTCACTACTTCTTTAAAAATTATTTCTTTTTACCTGTGTGTGGGTCAGCATTTCCCTCCATAGAAATGTTTTACTTTGGGAATGGAATTTTTCTGGACAAGAACAAGGGCTCTGACAGGTTGAATTATCCAAGTGTGATTTACGGTGGTGATATGAGAGCCTATTTTCATGTCAGTCAATTATGGCAGGATCTTTAGGAAAACAAAAGGAGAGAACAGAAACCACTTGTTAGCAGGACCAAATGATCTGATCAATCTATTCACTTTCAACAGCAGAATGGAAGAGAGAATAGAACATGAACCTCCCTCCTGAGGAGGAGATTCATGAGGTCTCGGTGGTTACTTTCAAGAGAACATATTATTAGAACCTGGGGAAGGAGAAGTGGACAAGGAAGAGTTAGTCTTCTCAACAACTTTACCCAACTTACTTATTTTTTTAAAAATATATTTTCATTGATTCTTTTAAAGAGAGAAGGGAGAGAGAGATGGAAACATCTATGTGAGAGAGAAATATCCATCGTCTGCCTCCTGAGCGCCCCCCCCCCCAGGGGATAGAACCCACAACCCGGGCATGTGCCTTGACAAGGAATTAAATAGGACCTCTCAATCCATAGGATGCTGCTCAATCCACTGAGCCACACTAGTCAGGCTACTTCACTTATTATTTATTTATTTATTTTTTCTTTATTGATTTTAGAGAGATACGAAGGGAGAGGGAGAGAGAAAAACATGGATGAGAGAGAATATAGATTGGCCGCCTCCTGCATACTCCCACTGAGGATTTGGCCCACACCTGGGCATGTGCCCTGACCAGGAATTTAACCAGCAACCTCTTGGTGCATGGGTCAACACTCAACCACTGAGCCACACTGGCTGGGCTAAAAGGTTATTTTAAACAAAGGCATCAAATGTCTTAGAAATAAACTTGTGGACAGTCATCATGCAAGCCCTTGCTCACGAGCTTGAACATGCTTTTACCCATTTGAAAAGGTCCACAATACCTGACCATTCAGTCAGAACCCTTCACCTTGTATTAACTCATCTCGAAGGGATGAGCTCCTCTCTTCACCGTCACCTTCCTCTACCATGTGGATGTGATGAACAGGGCAGCTCTTATAATACTGATAAGCTAATTTTTAAAACATGGAGAATACCAATTATATTAATTATTTTTAGCTTCCTTCCTTGAATACTTCTTTACTTACGAGTGCCGTGCTGTTAGAGAGCAAACTTTTGGTGTATTCTAGAAGCTGTCTGGGAAGTGCCAGGGTGATTTCAGTGTAAAATACAGCTTGATAGTGTTATTATTCTGAATGGAGGACCTGATTTCGAGAAGAGAAACTACAAAAAGTGTTGTCAGA